GCAGGACTCTGAGCACAAGAAGAGCTGCTTGGGGCCCATGTAGTGACATGTGGCTCAGGGCTGAGACAAGGGCCATTCCTTTCTGCTCAGCTTGAATTATAGTACCTCTCTGGTGTTCAACAATTTGACATTTTTGGGCTTGGTATTTTTCCATCTTATTTTTTTTAACCAGGTTACTGCTGGTATGTAAAAAAGCTATTGGTTTTCTTTTATGGATAAATGAATAAGCAAAATGTGCATATATCATACAACGGAATATTATTCAGCTTTTAAAAAGAAGAAAATTCGGACATATGCTACAACATGGATGAACCTTGACATGCTAAGTGAAATACACTAGTCACAAAAAAACCCTACAAATACCGAATGATTCCACTTATATGAGATACTTAGAATTATAGAGACAAAGTAGAATGGTAGTTGTCAGGGGCTGGGGAAGGGAGGAAGGATAGAGAGCCATACTGACTGAGTGAACTCCTCTCTACCCTAATACAAGAGACTCTCATAGGCAGGAATATCATCACCCCTATTCAGCCTGAAGAAGTTACAGAAGATGGATCTTCATCCCTCTGCAACCCTTAGGATTAAGGGTTGTCTTATAAAAGGGAGTAGGGAAATATGAGAGGCGTTTGAACCAGAGCAACTCCATCTTGAATAAGGGCTGGGTAAAATAAGCCTGAGACCTACTGGGCTGCATTCCCAGAGGGTTAAGGCATTCTAAGTCACAGGAGGAAACAGAAGGTCTGCACAAGATACAGGTCATAAAAAACTTGCTGGTAAAACAGGTTGCAGTAAAGAAGCCGGCTGAAAAAGCCAAGATGGCGATGAAATGACCTCTGGTGGTCCTCACTGCTACACTCCCATTTAGCACCATGACAGCTGACAAATGCCATGGCAATGCTGGGAAGTTACCCTAAACGGTCTAAAAAGGGGAGGCATGAATAATCCACCCCTTGTTTAGCATATCATCAAGAAATAACCAGCCAGGCGAGGTGGCTCATCCCAGCACTTTGGGAGGCCAAGGCAGGTGCATCACAAGGTAAAGAGATGGAGACCTTCCTGGCCAACATGGTGAAACCCTGTCTCTACTAAAAATACAAAAATTAGCTGGGCGTGGTGGCACACACCTGTAGTCCCAGCTACTCAGGAGGCTGAGGCAGAAGAATTGCTTGAACCCGGGAGGCAGAGGTTGCAGTGAGCTGAGATCATGCCAATGCACTCCAGCCTGGCAACACAGCGAGATTCTGTCTCAAAAAAAAAAAAAAAAAGGAGGGGGGGTGGTGGGCAACTAGCAGTCCTCAGGGCTGCTCTGCCTATGGGGTAGTCATTCTTTTATTCCTCTACTTTCTTAATGAACTGGCTTTCAATTCTTTCAATTTATGGACTTGCCCTTAATTCATTCTTGCGCAAGATCCAAGAACCCTCTTGGGGTCTGGATCGGGATCCCTGTCCTGTAACATTATTATGTTTCAAAATTTGTGCCCAATCCTAATTAAAGCTAAAATGAATAAACAACCCTTAACGTGAAGACAATATATTCCTTAATCAGTCTAGGTGGAGTCCAATCATTACATTTGGATTCTGGTGTCCAGAGTTAGATAAAATGAGGAAAAGCAGCACTCTTAAAAATTGCTACTAATGTGCTTTGTTTGGCCCTCAGGGTTAAAAATCAATTGAGCAAACATTTATGATTTTTTTAAGGCAGCATTCTGTCTCTAATTTTTTAAAATAGAGATGGGGTCTCTTTATGTTGCCCAGGCTGGTCTCGAACTCCTGGGCTCAAGTGATCCTTCCACCTCGGCCTCTCAAAGTGCTGGGATTAAAGGCGTGAGCCACTGGCGCCCAACCATTTAAAAAATATATTTCAAATAAAAATTTGGAATTCTTAGCTTCTCTTGGAAAAGACTCGGGATCCAGTAATAATGGACCTTTTGGCAGGCAGTAAGCTGGAATAGAATATCAATGGACTGTGCTGGCCTGCGTTATTCATATTCACCACCACAGCTGGTTAAGAACAATCCATAAAACCGTGCTTCTCAAGCTTCACTCTACACTTCAGTGTCCTGGGGATCTTGCAAAAAGTGCAAGTTCTGATTCAGTAGGTCTGAGTGTGGCCTGCAACTCTGCATTTCTGAAAAACTCACAGGTGATACAGATGTTGCTGGTCCTCCATCTACACTTTTTTCCTGCTTTGTCGCCCAGGCTAGAATTCAGTGGCAAGATCATAGCTCACTGCAGCCTCAAACTCCTGGGCTCAAGCAATCCTCCTGCTTCTGCCTCCTGGGTAGCTGGAATTACAGATGCAAGCCACAAAGCCCAGCTCTAATCACACTTTGAATAGCTATGAATTAACAATAAACACAAATTCAAAAGGAAATAGAAAAGCAAACATTATCTTTATTTAATAATCTTTGATATTTAAAATACAACTCATTGAACATCCACACTAACAACAGAATCCTCAGTGTTCAACAGTGCTTTGGAAGCCCGGCTTTTCTAAGGACCAGACAGGAAGGCCTGTGTGTGTAATAACAGCAAATGAACTTACGAGGGAGCACACACAGAAGGGCTGCAGGGCTGGGTCCTGAGCAAGGGGCACTGCCACAGTGCACTTGTATCATGGCCAAACAATGCTTTTTGTTTCAGGTATTTTCTGCACTTGAATTTCAAATATTTTATTTATACAGAACAGTAATTTTTAAAAAGTTATTCCTAATAGCCCAGTGTTGTAAAAATTAGATAATCACATTTAAAATGTATGTTTTCGTCTTTCAAAAAAAAAAAAAGCATTAAAAAAATTCAGAAAACATTCCTTGAACTATGTAAGAGACAACTGAGAGCTTCCTAAGTGCCTCAGGAACATCCGTGTGTATTTCACTAGTTTCTCATTGCTTTGTCTATGCATCCACCGGCTTAAAATGTTTTTTGATATGCTATTAAACATGCCAATGACGATAAATTTAGAAGTTATTAGCATTCATTCTTAAAATGTCAGACCATTTGGAAAAAATAAAAATAGCAAAGGTTTTCTTCAAATTAAAAAACAAAATCAAAATTCTAGAATTTACCACCCATGTCAGTGATCTTCATTCATGAAAGCAAATTAGAACAAAATACATTTTTTTATGTTTAAGACTTTAAAAAACTACAAAGCCAGCTCATTTTTCAAAGCAAAAAGATGCTGGTTATAAAGGGACCAGGAATAAAAGAAAGTTTTTATTTTGAAAATGAAGAATAAAAAGTTATTTACATTGCTGACATGATTAGTTGATCCAATCTGGTATTTCTTAATTAGGATCACATATATCATATGTCTATACTTGTTAAGGACTCGATACAACCAACAATTCACTTTGAAAACAGTAGCTCAAGGCCGGGCGCAGTGGCCTGCACCTGCAATCCCAGCACTTTGGGAGGGCGAGGCAGGTGGATCACCTGACGAGTTTGAGACCAGCCTGACTAACATGGTGAAACCCCGTCTCTACTAAAAACAAACAAACAAACAAAGGAAAGGAAAGAAAGGAAGAAAGAAAATGAAAGAAAGAAAGAGAAAATAGTAGCCCAAGGAAAAAAAAACCTTTAAGACAAGTGTTTCACTCACTGCCCAGGCTGGAGTGCAGTGGCACAATCTCAGCTCACTGCAACCTCCTCCTCCTGGGTTCAAACAATTCTCCTGCCTCAGCCTCCCAAGTAGCTGGGATTACAGGTGCCCGCCACCACACCCAGCTAATTTTTATATTTTTAGTAGAGACAGGATTTCACCATGTTGGTCAGGCTGGTCTTGAACTCCTGACCTCAGGTGATCCACCTGCTTCAGCCTCCCAAAGTGCTGGGATTACAGGCGTGAGCCACCACACCCGGCCGGGATCAAGTTTTAAATAGCAAGTCATATATATATACACACACATATATATATAGACATATATATATTTTTTTCGGAGACAGAGTCTCACTCTATTGCGCCAGGCTGGAATGCAGTGGTGAGCCCTCGGCTCTCTGCAACCTCTGCCTCCCAGGTTCAAGCGATTCTTAGCCTCCTGAGTAGCTGGGATTACAGGTGTGTGCCACCACGCCCAGCTAATTTTTGTATTTTTAGTAGAGACGAAGTTTTACCATGTTGCCCAGACTGATCTTGAACTCCTGCCCTGAAGTGATGTGCCCGCCTCAGCCTCCTGAATTGCTGGGATTATAGGCGTGAGCCACTGCGCCCAGCCTGGAGGTCATCAATATTAATTATTGAATCCTCCTAAAAATTTAAAACATCAAGATTTTTCTACTTAAGATTTTAAAATTATATTTTGACTATGCATTGAATCTATTTTGTATTTGTACAAGTCCAATGGGCCGGTGTTAAGAATTTCGTAGCTCTTGGCACTAGCATTTTTTTTTTTTTTTTTGAGATGGAGTCTCACTCTGTCGCCCAGGCTGGAGTGCAGTGGCACCATCTCGGCTCACTGCAACCTCTGCCACCCAGGTTCAAGTGATTCTCCTGCCTCAGCCTCCCAAGTAGCTGGGATTACAGGCGCCTGCCACCACGCCCAGCTAATTTTTGTAGTTTTTAGTACAGACGGGGTTTCACCATCTTGGCCAGGCTGGTCTTGAACTCCTGACCTCGTGATCCACCCGCCTTGGCCTCTCAAAATGCTGGGATTACAGGTGTGAGCTACCACGCCCAGCCGGCACTAGCATGATTTCAAAAATAGTATCAAAAATTCAGACATTCAAAATGTGATTTAGGCTCTGACTGGAATAAAATTTATTTTATTCAACTTAATATTAAATGAAAAAATATGGACTACTGGTAGTTTTGTCTATAATGATACTCAACTGGTTTTGAGTTTTTTTCCTCACTGGCTTTGGCATCATGAATAAAGCCTTAAGAAAAATCAAGTTTTAAGGACAAAAACAAAGCACCTCCTTAAACAAAATATTCTGTGAATTGTAAATTATTTGGCCAAGATCTTAGTATAGAGTTTACCTGCAGCAGCCTTTTCAAACAGTTTATATTACTGAAATATTTATATGTTGATTACTGTAAAAAACATATATTGATGGTTTTAGATCAGAGATTAACTATTCTGAATTTTAAAAACATAAATTACTCATTAAATCCATGACATCTGAAAATATGAAAGTGGTATTTCCAAGGCTTATTTAAACTTCTACTAGCATCACCACTGTACATACTTGATCCCAGTAATACAAATTATACATTAGAAAAATGATACCAATAGTTTAAATATTAAACATTAAGATGTTCCCAATTAGTAAAACAGAATGGAAATCTTTAATACAGTTCTTAGCAGGACAGTTCTTGTGAATTTAGTTGTTCCTGACTTTCTTGCAGGTGGTTTACAGTAAATGGCAGTACCTGATGTATAAACTATAGCTTTGCATAACTTTTAACTTTTGTGATACTATGGTTACTTGCACTGGCATATTTTCATACTGGCCAATCAATTAAGAAATAGAATCTAAACATTGAATTACATTTAAGCCAACCCCACCAAGATGGCAGTTCACTAGTGATTCTGGATCTGCCTGCTAAATGTAACAATTTCACAACAAACTACACAAACACATTCAAACGCATCCAGTGTGTGCTCACCTCTGCTTTAAAAACTCTCCAGCTGGCCAGGCGCGGTGGCTCATGCCTGTAATCCCAACATTTTGGGAGGCCAAGGTAGACGGACCACCTGAGGTCCAGAATTCGAGACCAGCCTGGCCAAACATGATAAACCATGTCTCTACCAAAAATACAAAAATCAGCTGGGTGTGGTGGCGGGCACCTGTAATCCCAGCTACTCTGGAGGCTGAGGCAGAAGAATCGCTTGAACCCAGGAGGTGGAAGTTGTAATGAGCCGAGATCACGCCACTGCACTCCAGCCTGGGCAACAGAGCGAGACTCCGTCTCAAAAAAAGCAAAAACAAAAACAACCAAAAAAACCTCACTAGCAAATGAAAGTCAAACATGCCATATTTTCTTAAGTGCTTTAATTAGGGTATATATGAACTTTATAAACGCTAAAGTTAAAATTTTAAAATGCATATTGGTTTTCTCATTTTTATATTAGGTAGCTCATCAATTCAAGTGTATGAAAAGTTTAACGTAACTTTTCAATGGAAAAAGGTAATGAACAAATATCCATGGAAAATATGACTAACACACCTGTAATAATTAACATAAATGTTCAGTCTTAAAATATTTAGCTTTTTAAATCTTGAGGGAGTAGTACTAAACTCCAACATCTCTTGTAGTTTTAAAGTTTTATAATTCTTCTGAAACATTTTTAATTATTAAAAGAAAACTTTAGATTTTAAAATAAAACTATCCTTTTGTGTAAGGGAAACTTCAGAAAACTTTGGCACAAAATAATGACTTAAAAAATCTGTTATATCCAAGAAAAAGCTATTTCATAATCGTAAATAAAAGATATTTTTTCTTCTCTTTTCAGTTAGCAATAAATCCTAGATCAAAAAACTTTCCCTGATGAAATGTGTGCAGCCACACACCAGTAGGGCAATATACCATACTTTAATTTTCTAAGTTGTCAGCTGAAATTTCTTGAATTTTAGCTTATGAACAATTCAACATTCAAAAGAGCTTCAAAAGGGGCTGGAGAATGAGGGATGGGGAACACAGAAACTAAAACATCAAATTCAGAGAGACATGGTTTTCACCAAAATGGTACTATCCTATTGACCCAGCAAGAAACTCTCTGTACATCTCAGTTAAAGAGAATATTTATCAAAACTGTGGACTTTCTTATTTACAGACCCACTAAGTACTGTGACTTCTACAGTTCTTAAGCTATCTAAACATGATGCAAGTGCCAAATCACAGTATAAATTTAAACATTTTCATTAATTATTTTCATGTTCCAGATCACCATCTTTGACAAGCTATACCTACTAAAAGATGTGAAGTAGACACCTATATTCCATGACTCAACTGTAAAGAGAACAGAAAGCTTCAGTCATAGGAGAAAAAAATAAAATAAAACTGCTATTAAAATTGAAGGCCAAATTTCATGTATTATACATTCATGGTGGGTACGTATGTTTAGTCTTCTAACAGAAGGAGGCTTGCCTGCATACTATGCTTCTCCTAGTTTCCTCAATTGGAGAAGAAAAAAATAAGGCGCAGGAAGAAGGGGTTGCAACAAAGCTGTAAGGTTTTGATGTAAGTGAAAAGATATTCATAAAGCATCTGGGAAAGCACATGCTCACACATTTTAAAAAACGCTCATTTATTCTCAAGTACTTGTGCAGGGCTGATTTCAGAGTTTAGGAATGCACCAGTCATGAAATAATGATCCCATCACAGGACTTAAAACGCTAGACCTCAGAAAAGATTACCACCTTTCAAAAGAATTGTGGGAAAATAATGAAAACGAGGTCACAGAAAAGTTGTGATCAGAGAAAATAACACAAGAAAACACTGGAGCACACAGTATACAGTTGAAGGGAGGACCGTTTATCCTTCTAGAACCATTACTATTATCAACACGGACTAGAGATACTTTCCTGAAAGGTTAATTTGGTTAATAAGAAATGAAAGTCACTATTAGATGATGTGAGCCAAATTATCTACAAGAGAGAAAAAGAAAACTATATGGAAAAAGCCTGAGGCAAGAGCTAATTAGCTGGTCTGCAAAAAGATCCAAGAAAAATGCCCTAATTTTAGACATGTTAGATATTGCACACTCAAAAAAGAAAAAGAAACATTTAGAAAACTATTTTATATGTCTTTAATTGCTGAATGCCTCTTTGGCTAATATTTGGAAGATCATTATTTAGTCCTACAACTGACGCATTGCTCCACTTTCCCATCATTTTGTTTGCAAACCACTAAAAGTCTTATTTCCTCATCTCTTTGACACATTACCAAAGTGGACCCTATGCTGTAATTACACAGAATAATGTTGGAAAGTATGAATATCTCCATTATTTTTTAAAGGTATTATTTTTTTCCTTCTGTTTTCAAATCATTTCTGACAGTTTCTAAAGACATGGTCACAGCTGCCTGAAGCATGTCGTCTTCACCCATAGCATCACCTGTTGGGAAACAAAACCACATTTCTTTAAAATTTCCAGAAAATTCTCAAAGTCATCAAAAGGTAAGCTCTCAGAAAATGTGTTTCTATTTGAGCACGAGTTTCTTTTTTTGATTTAATGCATATAAAGCAAAACTTACTTTTATAGTTCTATATATTTTGACAAATACACTGTCAAGATATACAACCATTCCATTGCCCCAGAAAACTCCCTTATGCTGCCCCTTTGTGGTCAATCCCCAATTCCTAATCCCAGCTAGCCAACAGTATATTCTCTGTCCAACAGTTTCATCTTTTCCTGCATGTCATATAAAAGGCATCAGTAGATATGTAGCCTTTTGAATATGGCTTCTTTCACTTAGCGTAATGCATTTGGGATTTGTTGTGTATATCACCAATTTGTTGTGTATATCAACAATATCAGCAGTTCATGTTGATATACTCATGTTGTGATATACTCATGTTGTGTATATCAACAATTCATGTTGATATACACAACAAAAACCCAACTTTCTATTTTGAAATAATTGTCAATTCAAAGGAAGTTGCAAAGATATTTCAGAGAGGTTTTGGGTATTCTTTTGCCCAATTTCACCCAACAGTTACATTTTATGTAACTAAAGATCAAACTAAAACCTAGATACTGACATTGGCACAATGTTATATGTAGTTCTACACGGCATTTTATCACACGTGCATTCATGTAACCATGAGCACTACAATCAAGACATAGAAGTGTTATAATACCACAAAGATCTCCCTCCTATCGATTTATATTCACACCCACCTCTCTTTTACCCACTTTCTCTAACTAGCGGCAACCACTAATACGTTCTCTATCTCTATACAGCTGTCATTTTTAGAACGTTGAACAAATGGAATCATACAGTATAAGACCCTTTGAGGCTTTTTTGCACTCAGCATAATGCCCCTGAGATCCAGCCACGGTGCTGCCTGTGCCAACAGTTGGTTTCTTTTTAATCCTGACAGTAGAGTATTACATGCTATGGATGTACTACAGTTTGTTTCACTGTAAGACATTTTGGTCATTTCCAGTTTTTGATTATGACAAGTAAAGCTGCTATAAACATTCATGTACATGTTTTTATGAGAATATAAATTTCTATTTTTGGCTGGGCACAGTGGCTCAAGCCTGTAATACAAGCACTTAGGGAGGCGAAGGCAGGCAGACTGCTTGAGCCCAGGAGTTCAAGACCAGCCTGGGCAATTGTGTCAGTGGAACAATGCATCAGTTGTAGGTCTAAATAATGATCTTCCAGGCTGGGTGCGGTGGCTCACGCCTGTAATCTCAGGACTTTGGGAAACTGAGGCGGGTGGATCACGAGGTCAGGAGTTCGAGACCAGCCTGACCAACATGGTGAAACCCCATCTCTACTGAAAATACAAAAAATTAGCCAGTCATGGTGGCACACGCCTGTAGTCTCAGCTACTTGGGAGGCTGAGGCAGGAGATTCGCTTGAACTCAGGAGGCAGAGGTTGCAGTGAGCCGAGATCACACCACTGCACTCCAGCCTTGGTGACAAAGTGAGACTCTGCCTAAAGAAGAAGAAGAAGAAGAAGAAGAAGAAGAAGAAGAAGAAGAAGAAGAAGGATCTTACAAATATTAGCCAAAGAGGCATTCAGCAATTAAAGACATTTAAAATAGTTTTCTAAATGTCTGTTTTTCTTTTTTGACTGTGCAGTATTGCCCAGGCTGGTCTTGAACTCCTGGGCTCAAGCAATCTGCCTGCCTTGGCCTCTCTAAGTGCTAATTACAGCACTTACGGAGTGTAATACTGAAAAAAAAATTAAAAAATAAAATAAATGTATTTCTGTTTTTCTGGGACAAATGCCCAGGAGTATAGATGCTATGTCATACAGGGTACAGGAGTATAGATGCTATGTCATACAGGGTACAGGAGTATAGATGCTATGTCATATGGTCAGGGTATGTTAAGTTTTTAAACAAATAGTGAAATTACTTTCCAAAGTGCCTGCATCAATTCAAAAGAAATATAGAAAGGTTACCTCCCTTTATATCCTTTGACCCTCCTTCATTTGTAACATAATTGCCTTAAATATTTCCAATATATATACTGAAAACCAAATCAGTGCTATAATTCTTGCTTCAACCATCAAACAATTTAGAAAATTCAAAAGGAGGGTAAAGTCTATTGTGTTTACCCACATTTTACTCTTTTTATTGTTCTTTCTTCCTTCCTGGTGTTCCAAAATTATTTCTTTTATCATTTCTTTTCTGTTTAGAGAAATTCCTTTAGCCATTCCTTTAGGGTAGGTCTGCTGAAGAAAAATTGTTAATTTTCCCTTCACTCCTGAAGGATATTTCTCTGGATGTGTAACTATGGGTTTAGAGTTGTTTTCTTACTTATTTTTTTTTTTTTAGATGAGGTCTCGCTCTGTCACTCAGGCTGGAGTACAGTGGCACAAGCTTGGCTCACAGCAACTTCCACTTCCCGAGTTCAAGCAATTCTCTTGCCTCAGCCTCCTGAGTAGCTGGGACTATAGGTGCCCACCAACAAGCCGAGCTATTTTTTTTTTTTTTTTTTTTTTGAGACGGAGTCTCACTCAACTACCCAGGCTGGAGTGCAGTGGCCCAACCTTGGCTCACTGCAACCTTTGCCTCCCAGGTTCAAGCGATTCCCCTGCCTCAGCCTCCCAAGTAGCTAGGATTACAGGCGTGTGCCACCACACCCAGCTAAATTTTGTATTTTTAGTAGAGACAGGGTTTCCCCATGTTGGCCAGGCTGGTCTCGAACTCCCGACTTCAGGTGATCCTCTCACTTCAGCCTCCAAAAATGCTGGGATTAGAGGTGTGAACCACCATGCCAGGTGTGAACCACCATGCCCAGCCTAGAGTTTTTTTCTTTCAGCACTAGAAAAAATGTTGTATGTAACCCTTCCTTCTGGCCTTTATGATCTCTCATGGGAAATCTGCTGTCATTCAAATTGCTGTAGGTAAGGTCGTTTCTTGCTAATTTCAAGATCTTCATTTTTTGTCTGCAGTGTTCAGAAATCTGACTATGATATGCCTCTGTGAATTTCTTTGAGTTTATCATATTTCAACTTCATTCAGCTTTTTCAATCCATAGGTTTCTGACTTTTGCGAAATCTGGGAATTGTTCAGCCATGACTTCTTCCTCCAATATTTTTTCAGCCCCACCCTCTTTCTCCTCTCCTTCTGGGACTCCATGACATAAATTTAGATGGAATCTTGCTCTGTTGCCCAGGCTGGAGTGCAGTGGCACAATCTTGGCTCACTGCAGCCTCTGTCTCCCAGGTTTCAGTGATTCTCCTACCTTCACCTCCCCAGTAACTGAGATTACAGGCATGCGCCACCACGCCTGGCTAATTTTTGTATTTTTAGTAGAGATGGGGTTTCACCATGTTGGCCAATCTGGTCTTGAACTCCTGACCTTAAGTGTTCGGCCCACCTCGGCCTCCGAAAGTGCTGGGATTACAGGTGTGAGCCACCATGCCCGGCTTAGTGATTTTCAATTGAATCTTGAAAATTTGGGGTACTATGTTATGAGAATGTGAATCTTATTTACATCTTCCAATTTGGCAAGCCTCCTCTGACACAGCACTGGCAGCAGGAAAAAGGGAGTGCCGCCTCACTACAACCAGAGGGGAGTGAAAAGTTCAGGCTTCTTCAAGGCCTGTGATAACACAGAGTGGTGGTCATGGGGATTACTGCTGAATGCACACGGGAGTTCTAGTCCCCTAGTCCTCCACTGACATCTCTCTGACTGGGAGGGAGAGGAATGCCTTGTTACTGATCCCCACGTGGCCTCCATGGACATTGTGGAGGTGTCCTTGTTACTGCTAGATGCCAGCAACAGTCTGGATTCTCTACTAGGCCTCTTCTCTGACATTACCCCCATAGGAACCAGAGAGATGCCTATGTATTATTAGGTGGACGTTCAGGGTCCCTGTGACCACTGACACCGTGGGAAAGGAGTGTTATCACCTCCCGGAGGGAAGGAAATCCCCAGCTCCCCAGGCAGCCTTCTCTGACACCATGTTGGCTGGGAAAGGGGAGAAGTGTACCTTATGACTTCCAGGTTGGGATACATATCTTGACTCCCACTCAGCCTTTGCTGACAGGGTTTGGGGCCAGTTTATTCTGTGGTGTTTGACTTTAGTCAAGTGCTTATTATCTAAAAGTTTTTGTCTTGCTAGGCTGCCTCTTTTGGCTAGAGAGAGCAGACTTTTTATGGGGTTTTCTCTTGGTCTGAGCCCACAGCTTCTCCAGCACCAAGCCCAAGATAAATGAGGCAAAAAGAAAATCCAGGCCACTCCCCACCACACTGCTCCTCTGGTTCCAAGGTCCCTAGCCAGTCTGTCTTCTCTCTGCCTTTGAGATTCAGCTTGTTTTTTTTTCTTTTTGAGACGCAGTTTTGCTCTTCTTGCCCAGGCTAGAGTGCAATGGTGTGATCTCAGCTCAGCACAACCTCTGCTTCCCGGGATCGAGCAATTCTCCTGCCTCAGCCTCCCAAGTAGCTAGGATTACAGGCATGCACCACCATGCCCAACTAATTTTGTATTTTTAGTAGAGACAGGGTTTCTGCACATTGGTCAGGCTGGTCTTGAACTCCCGACCTCAGGTGATCTGCCCACCTCAGCCTCCCAAAGTGCTGGGATTACACGTGTGAGCCACCGCGCCTGGCCCAGCTTATGTTTTATACAAATGTTGAGGTGTCTTGGCTGTACTTAAAAGGAGGAATAGAAAAAAGTACCAGTTCATCCCTTTTATTATTCAATTGTTTGGATATACCACAGTTTGTGTATTCATTAACTAAATGAAGGTCTACATTTAGGCAGCTTATAATTTTGGGCAATTTATGAATAAAGATGCTATAATCTTTTTTTTGCTTTTTTTGAGATGAAGTTTCGGTCTTGTCACCCAGGCTGAAGTGCAGTGGTACGATCTTGGCTCACTGCAACCTCCGCCTCCCGGGTTCAAGCGATTCTCCTGCCTCAGCCTCCTGGGATTACATGTGCCCACTATCACATCCAGCAAATTTTTGTATTTTTAGCAGAGAAGGGGTTTCACCATGTTGGCCAGGCTGGTCTTGAACTCCTGACCTCAGGTGATCCACCGGCCTCGGCCTCCCAAAGTGCCGGGATAACAGGCGTAAGTCACTGTGTCTAGCCCTTTTTTTTTGAGACAGTCTTGCTCTGTCACCCAGGCTGGAGTATTGTGGCACGATCTCGGCTCACTGCAACCTCCGCCTCCCGGGTTCATGTGATTCTCCTGCCTCAGCCTCCTGAAGAGCTGGTACTACAGGTGGCTGCCATCAAGCCTGGCTAATTTTTGTATCTGAAGTAGAGACGGGGTTTTGCCATGTTGGCTAGGCTGGTCTTGAACTCTTCACCTCAGGTGATCCACCAACTTCGGCCTCCCAAAGTGCTGGAATAGGCATGGGCCACCATGCCTGGCCAGCTATAAGCATTTGATATAAGTTTTTATGTGAACCTAAGTTTTCTTTTCTCTTGGTTATATATACACGATTAGGATGGCTGGATCATATGGCTAAGTATACATTTATCAAAAAAAATGCCAAACTGTTTCCCAAAGCTGTACACTTTTACATTCCCATTAACAGTGTATGAGTCTCAGCTGCCTGGATCCTTGCCAACACTTGGTATTGTCAGTTTTATTTCCTCATTAAGCCACACCTACAGGGGTGCCGTGGTATCTCATTGTGGTTTTATTGTGCATCTCCCTGTGACTAGTGATGCTGAGAGTCTCTTCATGGGCGTGTCATCCCTATGTCTTATTTGAAGTACCTTTTCAAATTCTTCACCTTTTTATTGAGTTGTTTTCTTATTGTTCAGTTTTAAGAGTTCTTTATATATTCTGCTTATAATTTCTTTGTCAGATACAGTTACTTTTTCTCTCAACTTCTACTACTAATTGGCCAAACTTTAAGACATATTTAAACCGAGATCTGGAAAGTAACTCTGCACTTCCCACTGTTATTTAGATTATACTCAAGTATTTTTCATTTTCCAGGTGGTAAAATGTAATTTATTTTTCACCTACTAATATTCATGATTTCTGGCCGGGCACGGTGGCTCACACCTGTAATCCCAGCACTTTGGGAGGCCAAGATCATGAGGTCAGGAGATTGAGACAATCCTGGCTAACACAGTGAAACCCTGTCTCTACTAAAAATACAAAAACTTAGCCAGGTGAGGTGGCAGGCACCTGTAGTCCCAGCTACTTGGGAGGCTGAGGCAGGAGAATGGCGTGAACCCGGGAAGCGGAGCTTGCAGCGAGCCAAGACTGCGCCACTGCACTCCAGCTTGGGCGACAGAGCGAGACTCCATCTCAAAAAATAAAAAATAAAAAATAAATAAAAAATCATGATTTCTAAGGAATTTTTGGAGACTGTACAAATTACTGTGAAGTTTAAATTATTATGTTAAAGTAGTCATTAAATGTTCTAGCAATCCTCTCCTGCCTTGGTTTCCCAAAGTGCTGGGATTACAGGTGTGAGCCACCACATCTAGCCTTTTTTTTTTTTTTTTTGGTAACTGCTCCTTAATCCAGGGAAATTTAGTAGATTACAAATTTACTTAAGAGTCTTAATATGATTAAAGAGGGGATGAAGAATAATGTAAAGCAAAAATCAGATGGAGCCCATATGTCAGATGAAAGTGTGAAGGTAGCGAACATGATGAATGGTGAGCAGGCCTTACCTAGATCACTCCCAAGTGCTCCTGAACTGGTGGTTGGCCTTTCACATGGATGTGAACTCTGTCCTGATAGGTCCCCCTGCTGCTGCTGCTGCTGCTTCTGCTGCTGCTTCTGCTGCTGCTGCTGCTGCTGCTGTTGCTGCTTTTGCTGCTGTCTGAAACATTCAAAAGTGAATGTATATTTATAAAACAAAACTTAAAAGAATAAATACACCATGAGAAAAACTATTCATGTGGAAAATACACTGTTCCACAAATCAAAGTAGTCACTGGCATTAAAAGAATGCAAGAGCAGTTAGTTTGATATAGATTACTTTAAAATATAGAAGTGCTGATCCTAGGAAACCTAGACATAAAATTTAGATTTATCAGACAAATTAAGAAGTAGGTATTTTCATCACAACACAACCTATCATGGCCGGGCATGGTGGCTCACACCTGTAATCCCAGCATTTTGGGAGGCCGAGGCAGGTGGATGGCTTGAGGTCAGGAGTTTGACACCAGCCTGGCCAACACAGTGAAAACCCATCTCTACTAAAAATACAAAAATTAGCCAGGTGTGGTGGCAGGCACCTGTAATCCCAGCTACTTTGGGAGGCTGAGGCAGGAGAATCACTTGAACTGGGAAGGTAGAGATTGCAGTGAGCCAAGATCGAGCCACTGCACTCCAGTCTGGGTGACAGAGCAAGATTCTGTCTCAAAAAACAAACAAACCTACCTATCATACAAAAAGATTCACTGGTAGCTATTCTTATGCAAATGAGTGTTGGTTTATAGACCTTTAATATTGTTGAAAGTCACCGAAAATAAGTACCTTTGATCAGATAAAGCATCTCAAACTACCATGTGAGTTAACATAATGTTTCCATGGCTGGCTCATTCTTTTGATTCAGGTCTGAGCTTAACAATCTCCCCAGAGATGCCTTTCCTGACCATCCCACCAAAAGTCGCCATCTGACATTCCCATTATTTCATCACTTTGTTTTAATTCTCAGCATAAACTTACCATCTGGTATTCTCTTTATTTCCCTCTTTATGGCATGTAAGCTAATGAGAGTGCAAATGTTAACTTGTTCATCTATTTCAACAGTGCTGATAACCATGCTGTTACAACACAGTAAGCATTCACTGAACACTTGATAAATGAAAACTACTATTTAACACACATTATCAGATTTTAAGTAATATTGATTGCATTCAGCTCCTCTGTAATTTTTTCAAAAGGAAAAACAATGTAATTCAAATCCCCATTTTTAAAATGTTTAAACATGATAGTTACGATGTAAATATGTAGGAATATATTCTTGTACTTAGAAAATACACACTGAACAACTGAGACATAATGGAAAATCATATCTGCATATTATTCCCAAATGGTTCAGAAAGGCCAACAGTTGGGGAATCTGGGTGAAGGATGTAAGGCGCTCTGTGTACTATTTCTGCTTTTATGTAAATCTGAAATTACAGGTCAAGCATCCCAAATCCGAAAATCTGAAATCGAAATGCTCCAAAATCAGAAACTTTTTGAGCATCAACATGATACTCAAAGGAGGTGCTCAGTGCGGCACTTCAGATTTGAGATTTTGGATTTGGAATGCTTAACTGGCAAGTATAGTGCAAATATTCACAAATCCTATAAAACCCCAAATCGAAAACACTTCTAGTCTCAAGCATTTTGGATAAGGGATACTCAATCTATATTTCATATATGTAAATACAAACACAGAAAACCAAAAACCAAAACTTACCAACAGCTGACAATCTCAGTGAGAAGCCATAGGTTTAAAAAAAAAAAAAAAAAGAAAGATTGCTTCTCGGTCTTTTGGCTAAGATCAAGGTATTAAAAAAAAAAAAAAAAGGGGGTATATAGGAATTTGAAAAGGAACCAGAATTTTTAAACTACTGGCAATAATTATGAATAGAATTACACATTTTTTCTAGAGTTCCTCTCAATTTTGTGTTTTAAAAGTGTGAACAAAAAATAAAGTTCAACCAATGAGAACTGCAATTTTTCCCTGTTGGTCTCTAAGCCCGAATACTGACCTGTGTGTAGGTGTAAGACTTTAGTGTGCATGGCTAACGATGCACATAAGGGCAGTATCCTCCCATTAGCAAATCCTGATGCTGCGACATGGCACAAGAAAGACGAACTGAGTACAGAGAATTCCTGGCACATCAGCTATCACTCCATGCCCTCTTCCCCTCCACTCAAGAAGGTATGTGAGAATGCAAGGGAGTGACAGGTAAGGTAGCAATTTTAGAGGAATAGCCTTTATTCTACTTTTAGTTTATGAAAATTGAGAAGTAAATCAATTGCCCACCTTGAAACAATGTTGACACCTTCCAGCTGTGAAGACACTGAGATGGAACATGTTTAAGTGGCACTCAGCATCCACTCCCACTGTGCCATCAATATTATAGAGGCTACAAAGCTAAAAGCTACATGTCTTAGATTATTTTACAAGTAGGATTCTGGTTACAAATTAAGTGCTCACATGAGCTTTAAAAGGCCAAAATGGGTTAAGCACGGTGGCTTGCGCCTGTAATCCTAGCACTTCGGGAGGCCAAGGCAGGTGGATCACCCGAGGTCAGGAGTTCAAGACCGGCCTGGCCAACATGGCGAAACTGTCTCTACTAAAAATACAAAAATTGTCTGGGCATGGTGGCTCATGCCTGTAATCCCAGCACTTTGGAAGGCTGAGGCGGGCAGATCATGAGGTCAGGAGTTCGAGACCAGCCTGGCCAACATGGTGAAATCCCATCTCTGTTAAAAATACAAAAAAATTAGCTGGGTGTGTTGGTGCGTGCCTGTAGTCCCAGCTACTTAGGAGGCTGAGGCAGGAGAATTGCTTGAACCCGGGAGGCGGAGGTTGTAGTAAGCCCAGATCATACCACTACACTCCAGCCTGGGTGACAGAGCAAGACTCTATCTCAAAAAAACAAAACAGAAACAAAAGTTAGCCAGGCATGGTGCTGCACAGCTGTAGTCCCAGCTACTCGGGAGGCTGAAGCAGGAGAATTGCTTGAAACTGGAAGTCAGAGGTTGCAATGAGCCAAGATGCCACCATTGCACTCTGGTCTGGGCAACAGAGTAAGACTCCATCTCCAAAAAAAAAAAAAAAAAAAAAAAAAAAGGCACAAATGGGCCAGGCATGGTGGCTCACACCTGTAATCCCAACACTTTGGGAAGCTGAGGCGGGCGAATCACCTGAAGTCAGGAGTTCGAGACCAGCCTGGTCAACATGGCAAAACCCCACCTCTACTAAAAATAAGAAAATTGGCTGGGCGCAGTGGCGGGTGCCTATAATCTCAGCTACTCAGAAGGCTGAGGCAGGACAATTGTTTGAAGCTGGGAGGTGGAGGTTGCAGTGAGCCAAGATCACACAACTGCACTCTAGCCTGGGCGACAGACAAGAGTCTGTCTCAAAAAATAAAATAAAATAAATAGGCAGAAATAAGGCCAGCCATCTCCCTACTTTGGTTGTTCTCTAGTGGCAAGCAAAGTCATGGAGATGCCAGTCCCAAAATTCTGCTTCACTGCTTTTGCAGTGGGGGCCAGACTTCCCATGTCTAGGCAATGTGGTGGCAGCTTTCTAAGCCCAGGATCATTGCTATAGCAGTGTGTTCTTAAATTTAATATCCTCATTACCCATTGTGCCAATTGGGGCAGTGGTTACAGCTCTTCCTGCAAGTTGGTTTGTGGTACTCTGGAGGCCTGGCTAAGATCTGCACCTTCATCTTTTCTTAAGATTATGTAAAACCCTAATTTCTATATTAAGTACTTTTTCTCCTTAAAACATTCCCAGTAGTTTCTGTTTCTCAACACTGTTTGATAAATTATACCATCACTGAAGTGGTGGCTCAAGTATTAGTCAATCAAAAACTCATAGCGATCCATGTCCATGAAGATATTTGTGTCTCTCCTTGTTACAAAACATTTGTAACTATGTTTTTTGTAGCAGAAAGAATCTGCATCTGTTTCAAAACCACACCTAGAGAAGACATTAATAATTGCCAACATGCATGTATGGAATCCTTTACAGTTTATAAAATAGTTTCACACACATTGCTTAATTTCATACTTATGTGAGTTAAGGCAGGTTTTACAGTGACACAGCTGATGTAGTAGAGTTTTGCTTGGGGTTTTACAGTGGTAAAACAGATTTAGAGACTCCTGCTGGAAAAAATGTCATGGCTTAAAAATATTATTTAATGACTCATAAATTATGAATCTGTAATAGGGAGACTTTTTAACAGTATATATATAGATATATTTTGAGATGGAGTCTCGCTCTGTAGCCCAGGCTGGAGTGCAGTGGCACAATCTTGGCTCACTGCAAGCTCTGCCTCCTGGGTTCACACCATTCTCCTGCTTCAGTCTCCTGAGTAGCTGGGACTACAGGCGCCTGTCACCACGCCTGGCTAATTTTTTGTATTTTTAATAGAGACGGGGTTTCACTGTGTTAGCCAGGATGGTCTCGATCTCCTGACCTTGTGATCTGCCCGCCTTGCCTTCCCAAAGTGCTGGGATTACAGGCGTGAGCCACCACTCCCGGCTTAACAGTATTTTTTACACTAGAGAGAAACTAGTTTTTGTCGTTGTTGTTGTTATTTTTTTGAGATAGAGTCTCGCTCTTGTCGCCTAGGCTGTAGTGCAACGGCATTACCTCGGTTCACTGCAACCTCTGCCTACCAGGTTCGAGTGATTCTCCTGCCTCAGCCTGCCGAATAGCTGGGATTACAGTGCCCACCACCACACTCGGCTAATTTTTTGTATTTTTAGTAGAGAAGAGGTTTTGCCATATTGGCCAGGCTGGTCTCGAACTCCTGACCTCAGATGATTCGCCTGTCTTGGCCTCCAAAAGTGCTGGGATTACAAGTGTGAGCCACAGCGCCCGGCCTAAACTAGTTTTTTTAATGCATGAAAACTATGATTACTTTATGGATTTATGCAATTACTTTATGATTTTCTTTATGCATGAATACTATGATTACTATATTCAGTATGAAGCTTCAAATACTCAAAAAGGGAATAGAAAAACTAGAAAATCATACAAATAACAAATCAGAACCAGGGTCAATTTGGGAAGGGTAAGAGGTAAGAAAGAGTTAGCTTGATAACCTTAGAGCCAAGCTCCCAAAGACAGAACCTAGA